TTTTCGATGACTGCTATTAGTTCTTCAACGATCTCACCTGAATTTTGTCGGATCTTAAGCTGCACTAAGTGATAATCTTTGAAAAAATTTCTCCCAAATTACAATTTTAAATCATCGGTTAAGGCGTCAATAACTGAATGTTTCTCATCTGAAAATATCTGTAAGGTGTCTGTAGCCTCATCACGTAAAACAGCAGCCAGATGTAAGCCTTTGGTGATGGTGTCCTTTTGATTTGCCAGAAAAATCCTTGTATTCAATATCAAATTGCGTACTGTATAAATTCCAAGATAACTTCTCTTCATTATGGCGACAGTTAAATTAGGAAACGAAGAGACTGAACCAAGATGTTGTACACAGCAGGATAAAATGAAGCATCAGTCACGGAAGGGTAAGTAGGAGCGTTTTTTACAGATAAAGCTTTCGCAGAAACTTTTGTTTTTAATTTTTGGCATTCAAGATCAGGTCTGCCATAAAGTATGTACGTCGTACCCATGGGGAAAATTACAAAATCACCTATGCAGCCAGCCCGTTCGCCGTGATTCGAAAGTTGGACTGAACTACGAAACACAAAATATTGTATAATAGTTTAATACAAAAAGCTGCACTGGAATGAACAAATTTGCTAAACAAAAACTTAAACTAAGTATAAACAATTAGATTGAATTAATCAATTAGATTGAAGAATAATTATCGATTGGCGTATACTGCTGTTCAGTGATTATATTTTCACAGAAACGATTGTGTATTGTTCACAATTAACTGTCTTGGTAACTCCAGAACGAATGTCTGAAAATGCAGTGAATTCTTATATGATCGAAGTATAAATCCTGACATAAATTGAATGATCGAAGTATAAATCCTGACATAAAACCGTTAGATAATTTTAGAATCTTTGTAAATCAAAGTTAAAAAAATCTGTTGAACAGAAAATTTAATGTTTCCAGCTGCCTAAATATACTGACTACCGAGGCTCTCATTAATGAAACAAGAGTAAAATATTATGCTCTTCTTTCACCAAAAAAATTAAATTAAATAGAAAATCATATGCGTTTTTCTTGAACTTTTATTTTTATCACTTTTTCTAAAGAATTTATATTTTGGAGCATTTATGTTTAGCATGTTTCAAAACTTATTTCTTTGACTTTTCATCAAGTGCTTCTCATTAATTCTTTTGTTCAAAACTCCTAACAGAATTTGCATGTTTCTAAGATTTTCTCAAAGTTTTCCGCTTTTCCATACTCTCGAAATTTTTCTGTTTTGCAGCTTCTAGTTTTCCCAAGCAACTCATTTGCATTTAAATGGCAAAAACGAAGTGGTCAAAGTTGAGCATTTTCCTGCTGAGCTTGTAGAGACAGACCAGAATTTTTCAAGAAGGAAATACATTCTTTCCCTTTGTTTAGGATTCCTAGAGCGTTTTGTATGAAATTAATGATATTCGTCATTTTGCTGGAAAAAAAACTTTTTTTTCGGTACTTGAATCTTCCTCTAAGTACGTCACTTGCGTTAGTTGAAAATGCAATTTAATTTTTTTTAAAGAAAAGATTTCCCGTGAAATCAAAATATAATTAAGCTATGAAATGCATATGTCATTTTTACAGTATTGCGATTTAGTTCATTTATTTTATTAAATTTGAACAAAGTATTGCGAAATTATATTTTTGCAAAAATGATATTTCTAAAATTTAAAACTGTTTCTGCATTCTTGAATAATTAATAATCTAAATTTTCTTTAAAAAAACAATACGGTAATTTTTCCTTACGCAGCTTTAATAATTAATCAAACATTTTCTTTACAGATAATAATTCTTAAGCGCAGAATTCTTTTTCTGTATTTCGAAGTGAAGTATAATAATAAATATTATGAAGCAATTAATGATCGTTAATGATGTTGACTTCTTTCTTTATATATAAAAAGTAATTTCCTTCAGTTATCTTAGCATTAAAAATTAAAATCGAGTGCTTATAATACGTTATTATGAAATTCCACTGAATTTTATGTTCCAGTGTTAACTTTATTCAGCTTTTTTTCAACTTTTTTAACTTTTTCAGTTTTTTAAGTAATTAAATCTATTGCTTTTAGATTTCTTGTTTATCTGTTCGCAACATTCAATAAACAACTGTTGAGTAGACTGACAACACGAAGCGGCCTTAATACGATCGATTAACAGGAAATATCAGATATTATGTAATAATCGGAGATCGGCGGTAGTATTCACTGAACAAAAAAACATTTTATGAAAAACATCGCACAATCAACGGCAGGTATAAGTATTACTCACCGAAATTTTCCCGCAGTTTAATTTTTTTAAGTTTAATTTTTCCCGCGGTTTATTTAAGTTTAACTTAAATATAATAGTTAATTTAAGTTTAAATATATGATATATTATATTTTATTCATCAGATTATTTCATTAGTACAAAATCCTGTTACAGTAGTAATGCATCATATAAAGCAGTGCAATATAAAAAGAATTACATAAATATTACAAAAGAAAAATGTATAGCTTTAATAGTTTAAAGCAAATGCACAGTAAAAGGTACCGCAATGAAAATTGACAGGATATAATGCTAGGTATGAAAATTTTTCCTAGCTTTTAAATAGTGATGCAAGCGATTTTTGTGTGTCACGGTCTTAATTCAGCAAAATGCAATCCGTTACGTTTTTCAATTACAATTTCGAATTACTTAAAAAACATCCAGCTACTGCAGTGTGCAAATTAATTGAGACAAAATGATTTTTTTTATAATTTATGTGCACCTTGCACACATACACAAAAAAAGGATCAGTTCCATATCTTCCGTTCTACTCGACCGACTGCCGAAATTTAACTTGCGTTATCCAAGTTTCTAAGTTGCATAAAGCGCAACTTAGAATATATATTAGATTTATATATAGCATTTTTCTAACATAGGTATTTGGTCATAACGTCATAGTGAGCTTCTACTGAATAAGCATGAATTAGGGTCTCCACAACATGTTTTTACTTCTTTTACCATAATTTATGTCTGTTTATATGTATGTATTATAAGGTATTTCTCCCGCCTTCTTAGCATGCCTTCGTAATGTAGTGGTCTGCATGCTGGGCGCGTATTCCAGAGGTCCGTGGTTCTATTCCCAGCGAAGGCGTTACTCATTTATTCATTTCATTTCCTGCTTCCAAAAAATACCTGATGTCTCTGCAGTATGAATGTGATCAATTTTTCATCCAAAATAACTCTTATATGAAAGTTCCAAAAATTTATATTCTCCATATTTAAGCTTCTTTCATTCATATAAAGAGTTGATTTATTTTGTAGTACATGAAAGGGCGTAGCATCATTCGAGAAAAAAAACACTGCTGTAAATAAAAGCAGTCGGTACCTAGACGCATTCGAATGTGATACTCCGAATTTTGAAGCCACCATGTTCATAATCCCCATTGTTTTATTTATGTTTCTTTCTTAATCTTCTAACGATCGAAGTTATTTTCTCTTAGTGCGATATTTCAGACTGCAGACATTGTAGCAAATTAAAGCCTCATTACAAATATCGCTATAACGTGTTTCAAAAAGTCCAAGTTCACTTAAAAGTGAAATATCTCAACTGATTTCTTTAGGATTTCCTTTGAAACGTCCTATATTTTGAATGTAGTTAATTTATTGTTAAAATAAATATTCTGATCCAGTTGGTTAATTGATTATTAACAAAGCACATAAGAGCTGTCTGCCTTAAAAGGCGCAGGACTTTCTAGAGGAAACTGACTTGCGTTTGCGTTACAAAAAGGAAAATACGAAGACATCTCCATAGACAGTTCATTTGCTGGAAACCGAAGATAGCACGAACTACGAGTATTCACCGAGTTTAACTCCACTGATTCTGAGAACTTAGACTGATGTTGTTTAAAACACTTGTGGCTCTCTATCACTGCTTCAATTAAGTGCAAGTAACACTAAATCACCTGAATAAATGTGTTAGATGTGCATCAGGTAGCATCTTTGTTTCTTTTGAATAAAAAATAAAATGTTATATTATAGAAGAAGAAAACATTTATTTCCATTAAATGAAAAAAGAAAAACAATGAAAAGAAATGGATTTTTAATCAGAGTTAGAATATTTTCATTTTCAATCGATCTACACAGATAAATAATATTTTCTTATTTCTGAATTTAGTTATTATCACTTCTGAATTGAAATTATTCTTACATCTGAATTGCTTTCTTGAAATTATTCTTATTCCTGAAAAATTACTTTTTTTAAAACCGGTTAAGTGAGGGTTAATTAATCAGGTTGCGAATTAACCGGTGCTCGTCTAAAGAAGTTAAATTTGTTTTTTGCAGAACAGTAGAAAAATTACTATCGCAAACCATCAAGATAAAGCACAATTTCTACGAGGAATTTTAAAAAAAGAAGAAAATGCATGGGATAACAGTAATGATGTATACGGTATCACAATACTTAGAAGTTATTTTCATCCACAATAGTACGTAATGTAATTGTACATAATTTGGAATATAGAAACATTATTAAATCATCAGTTAAATGTAAAAGAAGTCTATAGATATTAATTCTTCTGTTTCCCATAGATGCCTATGGAAATAAAGTAATATTTTTAAAAAATTTTGTTTTGAAATATGTTCTAATTTTTAATGCTGGTATAATTGACATAACCAAATGAACTGTTTCTGTAGATTAATCTTTTAAAATAACGGGTAAACTGATAATAGTATTTTTCTATAATATGGGTTATTCCTCTTTCCTGTTCATATTTTTTCGTTTTTGTTGAGTTAACCGAGACTTTGAATTAACCGTGCACATTAACCGCGGTATTACCCTGGTTAATCAAGAGTCTTCTGTACTTCGTATTTTACTTTACGTTGTTCTAAATATTAAATATTTTTATATAAATAGTATGCTTCCAAAATGATTAGAAAATAGTTCAACGATTAAATTCCTTCAGGTAATAAAGATAATCCTTTGCTTTTTTCCTACGTGACTGAAATTTTTCTGTACCTCTCACGCAGGTCACGCCGGAGGACATTCCCAAGAGAACCTTAAAGCTTTCCGTTTATGATGTGGACAAGCGCAAAGTCCGTCATTGTTTGGGTCACGTGATATTCCCTTTATCGAAATCCGATTGGAAGACTGGAGAAACGATTTGGAAAGATCTCGAGACAGCACCTCAGGTAAGAAGAAAACATTTTTTTTTTTTTAAACTAAACTTCCTTTTCATTCCTTATATCTTGTTACATAAAAAACATTAACAACAGTTGAAATAAAATTCCAACTAAACATTCCCTTATTTCTTTTTTTTTTATTTTATTCTACGACTGGTTTTTTAATAGTACAAAAAAGTTTTACTTGTTTCATAGAAAATATACTTCCTGTTCATTCCTTATATCACGTTACATAAGAAATATTAATAACAGTTGAAATAAAACTCAACAAACATTACTTCTTTTTCTTTTATTTCTTCCACTAGTGATTTTTAGCAGTACAACTAAAATTTTACTTGTTTCATAGGAAATTATCCTATAATAAGGAAAGCATGTTATTTACAAAGTCTAGCTGAAAAGTTTCAACACTGCTTGCATTTCTCTCTCTCTCTCGATCTCGATCTCGATCTAAACCACGATAAACCTGTACTGAATTTTGTAAAAGATACATCTACGTATGCAGTTGGACAGACTTGAATTTCGATATTTGGTCACTGCAAATGAATATGCCTAATACATTTTGTTCTGACGAGTAAGAAAGATGTCTCTGAAAATGTGGTGGATATCTCATAGATTCTGTATTAAACTTAAGTAATAAGCAGTAATGAAATGCTTGAAATATTATTGAAATGCTTCTGGTAGTGAAACATTTAGCTTGCTTTAACTTCAAAGATGGCAATACGCAAGTGATCTAAAAAGCACATTCTGATAGGCCGTCTAGTGTATTTAAGGATATCAAAGATTGCCAAGCCAGTGAGTGATGACTGCTTTGAACTGTTCGGAAAGCCTTTTAGCCTGAACAAAGTAAAGGAAAAAATCGGATTTGATCGAATAAATGTTTTTGCTCTAAGGAAATGAATGCCCAGTGCCACATTGCTGCTGTGATATCACTATCTAAAATTTATGACACAACATTAAAATACTTTCTATATAGTCCGGATTTTTAATACCGAATGATTTGATAGACATTCTCAACACTGAGAAAACAGTTGTATAGAAAGAGACTATCTTCAGGTAAGGAGGTGTAAAATGCCTAAAAAGCATATCTCAGACGGTCTTTTACATGTTTCAGATCGCTCATAAATCACTGTGAAAATGAAATTGAATGTAAAATTTTTTTGAATGTAAAATATTTTATTCTGAAAAGAAAACGAAATGTATAGTCCGTACTCTCTTGTAATTTTGGATTCAAAAAATTAGTTTTTAACTGTTCAGTTAGCTAAGTACTTAAAATTAGGTTGTATATTTAAGCAAATATGGATACATTAAAAATATTTGAAAGCAAACTGTTTTCCTACCTTTGTTTCTTCAGGAAAGAAAGACCATAATATTGATACTTCTTTATTTATCTCGTTTAAAACCTCCAATAGGCATGATTTATAATTATTTATTACATATTTCATAAGTTTGAAATCACAACTATAATATGTAAAATTAGCATATTTCTATCTGAAAGACTGATTTCTTTGGTCCTCATGAAGAGGGACCTGTACCTGTTTGCCCTCGAAATATATTTACTAAATCTATGCCAAACAGAAGGTTGATATTTTGCTAATTTTATGCTTCACTTTGGTGTGTTTCTCTTTAGTTTTAACTGTAATATATTTTATATGGCTTTTAATATATAGCCTTTTAATCAGCAAATTATTATAATAAAATCCAAAGTAGTGTCTGTTCGCACATTCTTCACACTAAAAGTTACTCGATATGAATATAAAAAAATAATAGTAATATAAATGCTCAATGTAAAAATTGTTGACAAAGTGCAAAAATTTTTAAAAACAATTATCTACTTAAAAATATTAAAAATTTAGAAAATAAAAATAAGTTGTAATTTTATGAATTCAGGAAATAACTTTCAGTTGCAATATTCCAAAGTTTTCTGTTATTGATTAGTTAAAAACAATCATACTTAGTTGTGATTTTTAACTATCAAGACATGTGGTTGCTTTTGTGTTCGACAAGAATTTCTTATTTCTAATTTTGCTATTATTTCTTTGAAACTTTTGAAAATCGTCGTTCTCATTAGTAACTTCTGCTTTAAATTCAGTTCCAATTGATAATTTCCTGAAACTTAGCTAGTTAAAATGATCCAACTGCCATTCTATTTGCTAATTCAAAGCAATCGTTGCAAGTTTAAAACCATAGTGTCAGTGGATAACTATTAAGTTTAAAGCTACTGTTAATGCTAACGAAATTTAAATTATTACACAGTTTAAACTGATATTAAAAAACGTAAGATATAGAATTTTATTATATAGCATTCTTTTATTTAAAGAATTACTTCATAAATATAAATATATCGTATCTGTCTCATTAGTTCAGCACTTTTTAGTGGTATTATGTAAAACTTTGAGATTTCTCCATGTAAATTAAAAATTACGCAATTACACGAAGAAATAACAAAAGCTTAAAGATGCAGGACTATACTTATCAACCACATCAGACGTGAAGCGAATTATCGCTCTGTCTGAAGCAACTGCAAGCCATGGAAGGATTTAAATAACCTTTCTTTTTTTTACTAAACAGAAATTAGAATCTCAATGCACGTTCTTGTGCTAACAAAATCAGGCTTAACTCAAGGTGATGCAACTAAAGTAACAGTAAATTCCAATTTAAAACGTAAGCTAGTAGTCAAGGACTACACAATTAAATATTAATCTAAGCTGGCTCAATAACTCTACTAGCGTAACAAAATCAAATGTCAGCAGCAATAACGCAAAGCCGATTAATTAAAAAATTTTCAGAATTGGCAGGAACTAACATACTGTGCCCGCGAAAGGCAGAAACACGCTCTGTCTTACCACCATCCAAAAATCTCAATTTAAAAGCTATCTAACTAATTCGCATTCCGGTGATAAAATGGAAAGAAGTTATAGTAAAAGTTGAAATTATAAATAACTGATTTATTTAAATAATAATAACTGTACAAGAATTAAAAAGTAGGCTGTTTTATATATGGCGGACGAAACAATATTCAGATCTCTTTTATTCCACGATTTCAAAGGAAAAGTCAAAAACGATGATATTTCACGAGCCTGGCCAATCCTTACAAAGAAAACCAGGCTCCGAAATTAGCGGGAAAAGAATAAAGATTGCAAATAAATTAAAATTCTCGGAATTATTGCCGACGGAAAACTCAGATGGATAGAACACTTTCAAGACATTACAACGAAAATTTCAAAAAGAGCCATCTCCATGCGAAGAATAAGAGAATATGATTGGGGCTTGAATCTTCATATTCAAAAGCCACTGTTCGATAACGTGATAGAGAAAATTCTTAATTATAGAGCTGCTATATAGGCAGTCCATATAATAGAAAAGAAGAAGCAACAGCTCCGTGCCATTCGACGACTATTTTTCCTCGACATAACAAAATCTTTCCTCATTACTTCTAACACTGCACTAGTATTAAAAGTTGCTTTCTGGAATACCTCCTTTAAATCTCCTATCGAAGCTAGAAAAGTTTTAAACCAAATATCACAACTTAAGAATCAAGCTTATACGGACTAACTTACGATCGAATAAGTTTGAATTCCCAACCATATTTCCTAACATCAAAACTTGCCTTAAATGAGCCTATAATTATCAATGTGTGCTAATAGAAATTACAGATGGATCGAAAAGATATGAAAACCTGAATCAGCCTGTGTTTTCCATAAAGCCAAAAATCTAAAAATACCCAGGAAAAGACGCCTGTGCCCAGAAAATATATATTTTCCAGCTGAAATTTTAGCAGTTAAAAAGGCAATAGAAACCGCAATTAATAATAAATGCGGTCAGCTCACAAATCATTCAAATTCTCTTTCTTCTCTATATGCAATAGCGAACTTCAAATATCCTTGTCCAATTACACAAGAAATCTTTCATCTCCTCCAAGAAAATAGCCAAAGCCAAATTTCCCTTGATTGGACAAACGTCTTGAGGATAATTCACTTTAGTCTTAATGATAATTCTCTGCCATTCTATTTAAAGTTTAATTATAATTTATGTTTGTCAAGAAGAATATTTAAACCTGTATTACCTCTATCGCCGTGTGATAAAATCCTCGTGTCCCGTATCCTTATTCCTTTCCTGCACACTTTATGTATAATACAGCCTTTCTAATTGTAAACAAGAACCTGCACGTTACTCATTGCATTATGGTAACCAGTCTAGAAAATAAAGTAAAAACGGTATATTGACTTTGATTTTATCAAATTAGACAGCATTTTGCACTATTCTTCTCCCACCCCAACTTTTTCTAAGATAGTGCTTGTTGTATATCCAGTTAAAATAATTAATTCACATGTACAACATTTAAACTGAAGGTTAAAAATATTGAAGTCAGTTTGGCTTTAGCTGAGCCGGCCAGACGAAAAATAAAGTGCCGTGAGGAATATTTGTAAGTAATAACAGATTTCTGCTCAGGATCCATTCGTTTATTAGCCGAAGATTGCAATCTAGCTTCGCAAGAAGAGTTCTCGGAAATTTTATATTAAACGTTCGATATTTGCATGAATATTCGTTTCAGTCAACTAATTGTAAATTCAATGTTATAAAGCAAAATTTTGAATGAGTATCCTTAATTTAATAGAACGTCGTCGACCGCATCAGACTAGTGCACGGTAGACTGCATTTATTCATGGGATATTGAAAAAGAAATAAAAGTCTATATCTATTCTCTTAGAAAAATGTGATTTCAAGTTTTAAAGTATTTGAACGTGAAATAAAACTCTTTATCTTTCCCTTTTTTAATAAATTAAGATAATATTAAAATATTCGGTTATGTCGTAAAAAAATATAAAAAAATGGTTCCAAGATCAAATTTAATATAAAATGCTGCTTTAATATTTATCATATATATAATTTTGGGAATAAGCATTCAAATGTTTTCCAACCACTGTGAAAAGTGTTAAGAAAGCAATTTTTTTCGTCCTAAAAATACTCAATAAGAACTGTCTAACTGTCTTCCTTAACATAGCTCACTTTTCCGTTGTCATTTTCAGTCGTCTGCATCTCTAGGGGAGATCCAGCTGTGCCTGTCGTGCAACCCATTCAGCAACCGCATCAAGGCTACAGTCTGCCGATTGCGCAATTTGCAGGGCATCACCCCCGATGATGCTGGTGAGTGACACATGATCAAGTTTGCAGCTCTTTTTCTCACTGCTGTTAATGACAGCTAATTGTTCTGATTTTGAATTAAAGTGGTAAGCTTAAAGTGGTAAAATTACGGAGCATCCACAGTGCAAATACGCAGGAGGAATTAATTGCCGTTATTGAGAAATATCCACAGCTTAACCTACTTCAATAAATTTCCAAACACTTGCTTAAAAATTTCCCTTTATCCGTTGTGTAAGCATGATTGTAAATTATTTATTGATACTAAATAGAATATCTACTGAGAAATGGTAACAGCTAATTCTGGATGTCGTTCTATTTTACATGCAAAAGGAATTACGAAAAATATATATGGGTACGATGCAGTAAAAACAGTGTTATGATATAGACCTTTAAGAATAAGTTACGTGTAGGCCTATTAAGTGACAACTACGATTCATCTTTTAATAAATGTTAGTTAGTTTAGTTTTTGTTTTTGAAATTTTGTTTGTCTTTTAAAAACGTCTTGAGTGATTAATTTAAATACAAAAGACGCTAAGAGGGGCTAAAGAAAATTTTTTTATTTTAAAATAAATAATCCATACATAAATGGACTCAAGAATTCACTTGTATAAATTTTCATAAAAATTTACTTTTATTACCGTTCAGATGCGAACGCATGAAGATTCAAAATAAAAGCTACCAGACACGTATAACTGTCTTGTAAAAAGAACAGGATCTGAGTTATAAACTAAAAGAATATTATATAATTGATGTTGGCACAGAAATGTAAATTCTGTTTCATCTCTGCTAACATCGACTGCAATGACAGTAATCTTAGCATCTTCAACCAAAATGTTCCGTGTAATTTAACACCGTATTGTTTAAAATAATTAAAATAACTGAAGATTTGGTGCTTTAAGGATGAAACATAACACTATTAATTATGCACAGTATTTAATCGAAGGGTGGTTAAAGTATTAATCTGATAGCTAGATTTGTAATACTACTGCCGAATGATAAGTTAAACATTCTAAGTCAGGGAAATAGCAGAAAACTCTTAACTTTCTCAGCTTTTATGAAAAGTAAAAGTTTCAAATACTATTTTCTTCCTCCTTTCTACATGCCTTCGTGGTGTAATTAAAAGCTCGCTCAACACGTGATCGAGAGATCCGGAGTTCGAATCCCGGCTAGGGCACTCCACATTTTCCACCTCACCTGCATCGAAAACTCCTAAGGGCTGTACAACTGTAATATAATATTTAAAATTAAAAGTGAATTAAAATTAGGTATAGCAGAAGAATTTCAAATTATACCAAACAGTGACCCTGAGCATACTGCTGCAACATATAGTTCTGGCGTTGTTTAATGTTCTTCAAATATTCAAAATATCTCCTGTCTCTTAATTAACACACTGTTGAGAAAATTTGTAAAAGAATGGAATGTAAAATTTGAACAAAATGTTTCTTTAAAACAGTAATTAGTAATGTAAAGCAGAACTTAATGTAAAACGAAGAGAGAAAATTAACTGAAAACAATAAGTAAAGCTTAAACTATGTTTTCCGAAGCTAATATAATAGCTGAGTGGTCTTCAAACTGTGATCAAGATAAAAATTTTAAAAGAAAATGATAAAGCACTCGCTCTAGTTAACCAGTATTTGTTAACTAAAAAATATAAAGATTAGTTACAGAGTAGTTTTAAAACTTAACATGCTTGATCATATGTTAAAGAAAATGACGGCCAATGTTTTGCAAAGCCAAACAGTTTTCTAATGGAAAATGAATAGAATTTAGACGACTGTGTTAAAAGTTATGCAACACAGCACTTTTTTCAACAGTTTATCGACATATCAACAGATTCGACGTAAAAATCTAAATTTAAGCAAGAGCAGGTTGTAAATTTTTGATTGTAGATTCGTGCCAGTAACCCAGAAGTTTCTCACACAGCTGTAAACATTTTAACGTCTTGCGAAACCACGTATGTGAGTGAAATATCCTTCCCAACGTATAAGCAGCAAAAGCAAATGTAGAAATAAATTAAATATAAAATATGGAATGCGACTGCAGATAACATCAGTAAAACTAGACTTCCACAATTTGCGTAAATAATACTAGCATACCATTGTCATTAAATATAATGGAAGAGCAGGAGATCCCTGGGCACGAGTTAATGCTATTGAGTAAATTAACATTAATTTTATGTTAAAATTTTCTTATAAAAATTACAATACTTTTATTTAATTGTCATTACATAAATTACCTGTAACATATTGATCTACTGTAAATATTATTTTAAAGTATGTTTTACTAAGGGTGGGCTGCAGTTCTCCCAAAACAGAATTTGTACTTGCAAGGGTTCCGTGAATCGGCGAAGAAGACCAATGTATTGTCCTATCTTTTTTTATGGCATGATTTTCCCTCTCAAGAGATAAAATATTTATTCTACACAAGCAGCATTCAAAACTGCATTTTATTATTTCTATTTAATGCATTTAAATTTTTTGACATTTTGAGAGATCAGAAGTATCCAGTCGCTTTTGCAAGAACTATGGCTTGAGCTCGTCTGTAAATGTTTCTTTTGTTTGCTACTGCTTTCCACACTTGAAAGGCATTTTCAGAATGATTCTGATCATTCCAGACAAATCTCATGTAGTCATTCATATAACTATCAGTTCCTTCATAATTATAATAATGTGTTTTGTTTACTGAATTTTTACCATTGCCCAAATAATAACTAACTTATACAATTATAATTTAGTTATTATTTGGGCAATAGTAAAAATTTTTTAAAGTACCTGCAATTTTTTGTTACATTTTAACCCAGCAACAATTTTGGCGATAGGTTACCGTTATTGCGTTTATATATTTCTACGATCTAAAAATAGGCCAAAATTAACAGAAAATTACATTTCCTTTTATTTTAACTCAACTTGCAGTTTTTCACATTTACAAATTAATCCTCCTCGTGTAATTCTTCTGCTCCCACAGATGCATCTTAAACTGATTTCAACTATAAATTCTTTTTTTTCCCTGCTGAAGGCTTAACCTAATGATAAGAACATTAATGACACATTTCCATGTTGCTTAACTATTCATCTCGTAAACATAATTCTAGCAATAAATACATGCAATAAAGAGTAATAAACTACGTAGTGGGGGCTCATTAAAACCGGAATATTTGCTGAAATTTCTATGTTTCTTTACTCGTTTGATATCGCAGCAATTAATTGCGGTATTAAAGAAATTACTCATTGAATGTTAGGGCCATTTTTGCTGAAGGGCCTTGTTTTGTTTTTCTAGATTTGCCTGGCTCCTCTTAAGAAAATGTTCGATTTAACATGTTCTTTATTAAACGAAATTTCTTTAATGATATTTATACGCTTCATTTATTTGAAGTACTTTAATTTATTACTATTTCTTACTTAATGGAGTGAGGTGTTTAGCTGATTGGTAAACTGATTTTTTTAATTCTCTCTTTACTTTTCTTTTTTCTGCACCGATGTACATTTGATTGGTTTATACTAAACCAGTTTTTCTTTAATACTGGTAAAACTTACCAGTTTTGCTTTAATGGAAAAGATTTTTTTACGTTGATAGTTCAAATAAGCTCTGTTTCTACCTAATTTCAGAATTTTCTGATTGTTTTTAAGTTTGCCCATGATATTTTAATTTCTTTGATAAATACCTACTGATGTTTGCTCTAAATTGTTTCAATTCTTAAACCCTTTATTTAAAGCGCATTTTGAAAAGTCTTCTTCCCAGATTGTAAGATATGATGTTCCAAATTTCGTTTGTGTTTCAGAGCCATTTCATTTTGTAAAGTCATAAAAAAAAACTAAGGTTGTATGTAATAACAATTATATATTGTAACGTGCTTTACACTTGAATTATTTGGTTTAATTATTTTAAATATATTAAATAAATGATAAAACATACTAAGCATTTTTTTTCTTAAGGGTATATAAATAATAATATCTCTTTTAACTATTTCTTCTGACTTTTGTTAAAGAAGAATCGAAAATCCTTATATGTGAAACTAACAGTTTAATCTAATGTCTAGTGAGTAACATTAGTTATATTTAGTTTTTTCCCGAAGATATATTACTTCTTTAAAATTCAGTATTCTTATTATAACAGTATATATTTTGTTCAAAACATTATGTCAAGCATGCTGGTGTGTGTTAGATAACAGATAATTAATTCCCTTGAAAGAGTATCAGACAGTTCTATGTAACAAAATATGATGATCTGACGTTTTCGCACAAGAAGTAAGCTATACACTGTAGTGTTTAAAAACTCCTTTACCAGATGATCTCATGATCTTAAATTTTTAAGACAATACTTTTCACTAAAATTTTTACTATACTTTTCACTAAAATTCAAAGTTTCAAATTGCTTCATGTGAACAGGTGCTGCTTTTTATTTTCAAAGTATTGGGATCCTGCTTCTTATTTACATAATAATAATATTATTATTATCATTATTATATGTATTATTAAAACTATTATTTATTTATATTATGTATCTATGCTGTTGTTATATCCTTTTTTATTTGTTTATATATATATATAATTTAATGTAAAGTAGATAGAACAAACAATAAAAGATATATATACATATGTTACGGTGAAACACCGAAATCTGGAGAATGTCGACTTTCACCGGTGAATGTCAACATTCACATAGTCTCTTGGTGTATGTCCGAAATATTTTCCAAATACTCTTATTTCTGACTTACAACCGGTCAATGTCGACATTCACCATGTACTAATGGTGAATGTTGAACATATAACAATATTATATTTTCTTCTCCGTAATTCAGTCGCGAATAAACGCACTTGAGACTTGAAATACGAACTTAAGAACATGAGAACCTAAAACACACAATACATTCAAAATGAGAAAGGAAAATAATAGAAGTTAAAAACTTACTTAATTATACAGTACGTTCTAAATGAGAAAATAAAATAACAGTAATAAAAAAACTTACTAAATTATGTGATTCAAATCTTATTTATTGCAACAACTTAAACTATTATGGCACTTTATGACCTCTCTTTTCGACTTTCACCAGAGCATATCTGTGATTGTCGACATACACCGGTGGGGGTCCGAATATACAAGAATGTAGTGAAATATTCGGTCTTTCACCGACGTATTTGGTGAATGTTGATATTCTCCGGTGAAAGTCGACATTCTCCAATTTCGGTCTTTCACGGTAACATATATATATATACTTGTGAACAAGTCTTGCTTGTTATTTATATCTTAAATTTAGAAATTATAATAAGTGAAGGTAATTCTTCTTAGATTACATTTATATGATATTAATATGTCAAATATTAATTTGTGATATTAATATATCAAATATTAATATCTATTATATATATTAATATTTCTTCCAGAATATTAGGAGAATTATATATTTTCCAGAGAGCATAACACTTTGTAATAAATATTAGTTTATTGAACGCATTGTCAAAACGTTCCCCAGAACTAGATCTTTAGTCTTCATTTACATGAAAACCTTTGCATTTTCAAGATACCCAGTTTCAAACATTCGTGACTCTCTAACTTAATTTTAGAATGACACCAGTATAGGTATTGCTAATTACATTCAATTAGCAATGTATTAGTAACTAATTCTTTAATTTTACCTTCGTTTATGTCATTTTATTGCATACATACAAGAAGAAATATGACAAATGTGAAAAACGGAAAATCATAGATTCTTTACTACCAGAAGTTAAATTTTAGAAGACGTGTCCCTTTTAAATTGTGTTACATGATGTACTATAGAGGTAACTTAAACTAGCCACCTGAGCATATCATTAAAACATTCTTTAAAAACTAGATCTTTAGTTTGTGTCTGACAGAAGGAAAGATGAAAGCACTGAAAATATATTGAAATATTCTGTGTTAGTTTTCTGTTTCTTTATAATAGGATTAATATGAATATTCCTTTAATTTTCAATACAAGCATTCTTTTAGTTCACTTTTCAGCATTTCATCGTACTCTAGATTGACAAAAACGTGCAGAGCTCAAACATAGTATACTAATATTTTTGGTTTATATACACCATTATATAAAATGGCTAGTTGATCCTCACAGACTTCAAATAAAATTTATGAAAAATCATTAATCATTTCATTTATCTGAGATAGTATTGGTCGACTTTGCGTCTGATTTCTGACATTAATATGTTTTTCATGATTCGGTTTCTCAAATAAAGTAAACTTTTTTCATAGTGGCTACTTCTGTACGACAGTCACCTGTAAAAATGATCTGTGCTTCTTATAACTTTAATAAGTATCGCTGAAGTATTCCATTTCTTTAATATGACACCTTCAGAAAAGTTCAAAATCGGCGGGAATCATAAGTGATCGGTTTTGGGAGGGTTCCCTGTATTCGTAAGAAAGTAAATGTAAAAGTAATTAAAAGTACTAATTTATGGTTCTTTATCAATTAAAATTAATATTTTATATCTATTAAAAATGGGATTATATTTTATCATTTAAAAAATAATGTTTCAGATATAGCCATGATAAACAAATTTATTTCTATTAAGTTTATTTTTATTCTGTTACTTAATATTGCATTTTTTCCTAGTCATTTATGTCAAAGTGCAGCTGTATCACGGCCGCAAGATGATCAAGAGCAAGAGAACAGTGCCCCAACCGTATACTGTGTCCAGCCAACCTCAAGGAGAGATGATCTTCGATGAAACCTTCAATTTCGCGGTTTCGGGTCGCTTCTTCGATTCCTGCAGCTTCACTTTCACTGTGGTCATTGCTGGGCCAAGTCCCTTAGTCAAGGATACGTACCACGGCCGCGTAGTGATTGGGCCTTTCATGTACGCTAGGGGAGAGCAACTACAGCACTGGCAAGAGATGCTCAGTAATCCTAGGAATATGGTCACCAGATGGCATTGCCTGGAACCCATCAAGAAAGGCTAAATATTCTCATTTTTATTCAGAAATACAAGAATCAATCTTCTCTTCATTAAAAATAATAAAAATTTTCTATAAAAAATGAATAATGGGAACCAAGTTATTTAAAACATACATTAAATTAAAAGAGAAATACCTAAAACAAATAAGGAACACGCTTGAATTTTTAAATGCTAAAGTATTATAAGTATGCATTTACTAGATAGATAGATATTCTTAACTTCCATGCAGTAATATTTTTTACACAGAGAACCTTTAAAACCAACCGAATCAATTCCGTTTTGAATTTTGAGATACTTTATCGCATTTTGTATACAAACTATCCACGGGAGATGAGTTTCTTTAGTGGCATTATCACACTTTAGAGATTTGATGCAATCCTTAACTCCCAGCCAAAATTTTAGGTCTGATATTGCTTCTTTAAGTATATAGAAGCTCATTTATGGTTAGTTTTAAAAAAAAAAATAAAGTAGTAAAATTGCAGTTTTTATTACCTATACATGATAACTTGATTATTATATTAAAGATAGTAAATGATCTAGAACATTCCATTTTTATAGAGAATTTTCAACTGTTAATTATAGCCAAAATTTCTGCTTTAGCACATCTCTGCGTTACTCTAATTGATATACTCGTATCTCGCCAGCGATATTTGCAGTGATTCTGTTAATGAAACATCCTTTAAGAAGTGCTAGAAATCAATATACCCATGACAATAATTAAATTTCAATATATTATACCCATTTCATGGATGCATTACTGAATATAATAAAATGAAAATGATATAAACATCAAAAGGAACATGAATATTGAATTATAATGTAATTTGTTATTTGAGCACTTGCAAAAAAACCTATTAAGATCCTAGTTAACTAGAATTAACTAGAAGTCTTATTAATTATTTCAAGTTATTACGTAGCAGAAATATTCACAACAACAAACGTTGTTTCTTCTGAATTACAATAAAAAATTTAAATGGCGAAATAAATATTACTTAAAGTATTTTAAATATAAAAATATTTCTCTCTCAAAATTCATTGATAACTAATTATTTTAAATAAAAGTATATTCAGTCATTAAGAATTTCCTAAAGTAAATTTGAAATGCATCCTTTTAATATAACGTTATGATTAACATGTACTTTCATAAAATATAATGTCTTGTATATTATATGAAAGTATTAACTATCATATGGATAATTCATAGTTGTTTTGAAATAGAAAAAAAAGTATATTACGGAAAGTATCCCAAATTATTTTGAAATACTAGTAAAGTGAATCATGTTATGGGCAATTAAACGCATTTTCTAGATCCATCTCATAAAACGGATGTTCACAAATCCCAGAATTATAAACCTGAAGACATAGATGAAACAAACCATCATCTGAAACCTTTTAGTTATTGTTAAATAATTATGGAAACGCATTTATACATTAAAGACATCTGTCTATCAACTAGCCAATATACTAATCAGGATGATACTTACATCAGAAATGCATCATATTTAGTGATGTAATGTCCGTTTTAGCCATAAAAAAATATTCTCTTCTGATTTAAATTTCAGAAGAATTAAATTGATTAATTTCTTCTGATTTAAATGAAAAGCTGCAGCTATTTCAATTGTAATTTGTAAAACTTTCTTGATGGCTTAAAATAAAAGTAAAATAAAAAGAAGCATCTTAAATTATTTGTTTCTGTTGAAACAGAAATTTCAAATATATTTCTTAACATAATACTTAGGCACGAATTTCAACAATAAACGTTTAATATACTTGAGTCATTCGTTCTCAAAAATTCTGTTAACATTATTTTTATGGAATAATAAGAAAACTCGATGCTTAAATCTGGTTTTTCCTAGTATTCCTACTGCTGTCACACTTATGGGTGAAAAAGCACATAAAAACAGTTCAGAAACTAAAGTTATTTAGTTATTGTTTCCCTCTAACTTTCTTTGAGAACTTAACTGCAGCAATTATATTTTAAAACTTCATGCAAATCACTTCCCATTCTTTAAATTACTACGCAAATGTTGACCTAATTTTCTTTAAATAATACGCATTGCATAGCATGAAACAAATATACATAGTGGGTTAAAGTTCCAAACTTGACTAAATTCGATAAAATTTATTTTCCGAGTTTAATATGGATAAATATTTATTAAAATCAAAAAGTTTTAACAAAATTAATGTGAAATAATATTTAATTGCAATGTTTTTGAATATATTCAAATGACAATCAGCTTTTTTATAAAACAAAAAATCTTTGTTTATCCTGTTAAATTTAGAATCATTAGTAATAATATTAATAGTATTACAATAGTTTTAATTTTTATTTCATAAATTATATGTGCCACTTTAATTTAAAATCAGTAATGTTATTGTTTTAATTTAGATATCAAAAGTAAAATAAAAATAGGTATAAATTAAAGAAATTCTATTTAATCCCGTTTAATGATAAAAAAATTTAAAAGTAAATCATTTTAATGCTAAAAAATTGCCTAAAATGTTTTAAAAAATGTGGAAGCTCGAATGTGAAAAATCGACGATTTCACGAACAAAACATATTTCACAAACAATTCATCATAGCGCCAGTGAATCTTCAAGCAAAATGTTTACATTAAAAACCATATACCTCTAAATGGTATGAATAGCTTTTCGACAAGATTAATATACAACAAACAATCCATCAATTATCATAACTTTTTTTTTCGAAAATGGTCTTCCATTGCCTTCAACAATAACCATGCGAGTACCTTTTTTTTTTTTTTTTTAACATTTGGCTTGTTTCAAGAAACTTGTATTTAATTTTACACCTCAGATAGTGAGATATGAAAGAAATATTTATCTCCTTAAATATGATATACTGTAAAGATTATATATTTTTGTGCAAAAGTGAGCTGCTTTAATGTTGTAAGGCTTTGTTAAAGTAAAGTTGCTCTTATACAGTTGTATACACAGTGTCGCCTGCTTTTATCACAGTATAGTTTCGTATCCCGCCAAGAGAGGCGGCTGGTCATTAGCGCTGTGTTTATTATGGAAAAATGTTTTGTGCCACAACTGAATTAAACGTAAAGTTTCTTCTGCTTTCCTGTTTGTGATATATTGAAGTATTTGTTGCTTGTATGTACTGCTTTTGTTCGTGAGATGTATAGTAGTCTTTGTTGTTCATATTAGTGATTTTTTTCATAAAGTTTTACAAAAGGTAGTATTTTGTAAAACGTGTTTCAAATTTGTAATGGCATGAATACATAGCGTAACTTTATTATTTTTCACGATAGTTAATGTATTTGTAGCTAAATTTAGAAAAGTACCGAACAAAAATTATTTAAAATTCTAAATTTTAGTGAAGTTTCAAAAAATAAAGAAAAATATCATGCTTTAATTATTTAAAATTCTAAATTTTAGTGAAGTTTCAAAAAATAAAGAAAAATACCATGCTTTGTTTATTTTCTTTTTCAAAATGGCAACAAGATTGAAAATTAGGATATATATATATATATATATATATATAATAAAAAAAAAAAAAAAAAAAAAAAAAAAAAAAAAAAAAACGAAACTTACTTTGGATTGCTGCTTTTGATGCCTGCACCATAAATTTGTTATAACGCGTACTCACTATGCATGAAATTAATTACCTTTGAAGTACCCCACTGTATTTATTATTTTAATAGCAAAACATAATCTTTGATTCGGTAACAGAATGTAATCCTTCGTGTTGAATTTTATTTTCGCTATTTATTTGAAAATGTTTTTATTTAAATAATAATATATCAGATAAGTGTATGAAAATTTCTGTAATAATGATCTGTAATTCTGTAATATCGTCTTACAATAATACTGCGACAGAAAGGAACAAATATAGATCTATCCAAGACAGAACTTTTATTTCCTGAGAAAACGTAATATGTTATGAATTTCAGGGATCTGAGTAGCATTTAAAAACGTGTCTAAAAAAAAGGTCCATGTTCTTATTACAGTAAACTGATTATAAATACTTTAAATTCCCCCCCCCTTTTTTTTTTTTTTTTTTTTTTTTTTTTATCAAGTCTTTTATGTGTCAGAAGTAGAGAAAAATCCCTTTTTAATTAAGAATTAATTAATAATCTATTGATAAATTTCTAGTTTGCTAGAATTAAATAAATTTGAACTATGTTTTTCCAGTATAAATGTTAACCATTAATTAAAAAAGAAGATACAATCCAGTTGATTGAACAATCCTAAAATATAGTACAGCTGCTCATTAAATTATAGTGCTTCTTCTTTTTCTTAACGATTTAACATTTTAAATTAATTATTCTTGATCGATATCCTCTAATATTGAAGACTTCTGCGTACAGAACGTTGTGTTTCCGAAAGTTGAATATTTCTTATAGTATTGTAACTATTCTGATGATTAATCCGGTCGATTACGTAGAATATTTTCAATTTTATTAACAGTAAGTGTAACGGATAGTTCTATCGAAAACAAATTTTTTATTCTAAATTATATTGAAATATTAAGTTTTTATAATCTTAAAGAAGTTAAATAGTTTTAGACGCAGTATTTTCTTTCTTTCTAACAGTTAATCTCTTATTTTGTTTTGAGACTAAATACCTTCCAACAATGAATGATTTAGAATGGCATCTGTTGTCCATCAGACTGTTCCATATTTTCTGTAAAAGTTACACCATATCATCTGCCATTAAGAAAATGATCTATAGAAAACGTGAAACTCCTATTGAGAAGAATTATCGTATATTTAAGAAAATACTGATAATTTTTTTAAGAACTTCTAAACCATAAATAACTATTCACCTTTTCCGTGAGAAACATTCTGTCGTATTAATTATGTTTTCCTTTTGATAAAATTAAATTTGATGATTTTTAAATCGTTATAGTAAGAATCTTTAATATTATTTAGTAATTCTAACTGTAAATGCAAGATTTCTGTAACAAAAAGAATTAAAATAAATTTATGTAAAGAATAAAATAATTGTAAGATTAGATTATACTGTTATTTTAGCAAACTTTCATATAACTTATTAATTTTTCTATTTTCGTCATTAATTGAGTTACATATATCTAATAGGATTAAAACAAGAATTTT